TCACAGAAAAGGAAAAAGGAAGTAGAAGAGAAGAATACTAAATTAATAATAGACAACAGTAAAGAAATGGGTGAAGTATACAAGTGAACATCCAGGTTAGCAGAACAGTTCTCAACAACTAGTTAGAATATATTAAGTTTCTTTGCAGGATTAATAAGAAGCAAACTTATTCTCAAAATGATAAATCTTAAATGCCATAGTAAAAGAATTGGAAAAGAAGCAAAAAGATGGATCAAGAAACTGCAAAATATGGCTTGTAACCATTTCTGGAAAAAGGTTTGGAATATAAGATGTGAAAAGATGATAGAATGAGAAAGATTGCAAGGAATTCAAAAGAAGGATAAGATAAAAAAATCTCCTAACCTTTCAGATGCAAACTATATGACTGGAAAAGAAAACTCTGATATTGAAGGAAGGAAGATTAGAAGATAAAGACTTAAAAGATATCTTATTAAGAGAGGTTAGATTTGGGATGAGATGGTTGGATTTTGAGTAATGTCAAAACTTAAAGAGTGATCTGCAGTAGTGATTACAGACAATGATATTAAGAGTTGAAAGGGTTTTCATCTAAACTTCTAATGAAGCGATAAATCACTCACAAAGTTGTACTTAGAGTAGTAATTACAAAGATGCGTGAGCTAGTTAGCATTTTTTAGCTTTAGTGATTCATGTTATATATATAGTTTACAAATGTTTAATAAAGTACACATAACTAGCCTGACAGAGGGTTAAAAAAAAAAAAGATAGATGTGTTTGAAAGTATTAGTATATTGAATAATTTTTTTTTAACTAGTATTAATTGAATAATTTTGATAAAAAAAATTATAAATTTATAAATTTATATATATATTTTTTAATGATTTTATATATTAAAATTTTTTTGTTTATTTTAATTATTTAATTTTTATAATCTTTTCAAAATTGATTATTTATATAAAATTTTTATTTTTGAATTAAAATTTTACAAAATTATAATATTAAGATTTAAAAAAAATTTTAAGTAAACTTATTCATTATATTAATAAAATACACAAATATATTTAAATAATAAAATTTTTATTCATAAATAATAATAATAATTTTTTTTCAAAAGCAAATGTTCCACACTATATTAAAAATTGAAAACATAATATATCGCATAATATTAAAATATTCAAAGTCCAATTTATTACTTAAATTTTATATTAATATAAAATTTTGGTAATAGAAATAATTATTATTGAAATTTAAAATCCGATAAATAACTTTTATAAGAAATTCTATCTAACTTAAAAGATATTAAAACATAATTTATTTTCATTTTTCAGTCAAAAGATTCGTCAGATATTCTATAATTTATATCAATAATGTATGATACTTAAATTTAATAACGTATTGAACTTCAAAATTACATTTTGTCAATTCACATTAAAATAAAAAGATTGTGTCATAATTCGTACCAGAAAAAAAAAAGCGGTCAAATGACAATTGAGATAGTTTTATGAACGAAATTGAAAATAGGTCACCATGTTTGGAATGCATAATTTACAATACCCTCAAATATTCATGTTTCAAACGCTTATCATTTAAGAACGTTTCTCCCCTTTCTCCTCCATATTACCCGCATTCTCCTCTACCTTACCCGCATTCTCCTCTGCATCTTCGTCTAGCTTAATATCCAATGGCGTTTGTTCATGCAGTTCATAGTGGTACATGTCCTTTAATGGCGTATAAGTAGTTCGGTCATTGGCGTGTATAGCTCCATAAATGTTTAATGCCCTGCTGGTAGAGTCAGGCAATTTCTTGCCGCTAAGTAGATACCAAACATACTTGGTGATAAACACGACCTCATGATAGACGTCCTTATAATTGAATGCATCGGCGAGGCCATTGATGAAAGGTGTACGTTTTCTTTTGCCATGGTCGCGATATTTTCGATAGTCGAATGCGAAGACATGTAAAATTGCGAATGCCACCATTTCGAAACATATTATCAAGGCATTTAGACCACTGGAAATGTTGGCTGCTGTCCTAAAAAAAAAAAAAAAAAAAAAGTAGAAATGAAAAAAACGAGTTGGATTATCATTTAATCAGAAATGTGCTTAAGATTTAAAGATAGATTGTTCCATATACCAATATTGACTTGCTTTAATTATGCCTATAAGGAATGATGATAAGAATGCATGGAATGAGATTGATAAATTTGATTGTAAAAAAAATAGACATTTCGACGGCAATATGAACTTTCTACACACCAGCTTCAGCTAGAATCGATAGGGTCAAGTTCTGCCAAAATGTTAAGAAGATAACCTGTTGTTGAATAAAACGCAAGAGATAAATGGGTAATGCATAATCGTAAATAAGAAACAAAGAAAGGCCGGAGTGAGTCATACAAAATTAGAAACTTACAAGTTTAACGCAGGCGAATTTGTAGAGTGGTTTCTCATCCTCAATTTCGGTTTTGATGGTTATGTAGAAAGTGATCTGTAAGAGACAATATTATTAGAAGTCCACAATACACGGTCATGTTATCATCAGTAATACACACCAGAGCATACATGGCAATGGTGACGCTGAAAAATTCAACAATGCTTAAATAGACTCGCGCAAAGTGAAAACTCATGCTCTCCGCGCAATACACTCCTAATGTTTCTGTGACCAACGCCGCGACGGTGATCAGCGGATTAATCACCACATATTGAAGTACACCCCATTTGATGAAAAATAAATGAGAAGTGCTCTTTGGTTCGTAGGTGATGCAACCAAATGGGAACGGATAGCTCATTTCGCCCTTTTCCCGTAATCTTTCCTTTCTTTCTTCGGACGCGTCACCCACGAACTGGGTTAACAATGCGAAGAAGGCAGCGATTACGAATGCTTCATAAAAGGTGCGAATCGTTTCGTAATAGACGCTGTGGCGAAAGAAACGGTATGAAAGCCATGATATTATGGAGTATATGGGTATAAGTAAGATGATTCGGATTACATAGCGCTGATGGTTCGGCTATATTAGTAATACAAGGGAGCGTTTAGTGAGGAATATTTTTTTAACGCGTTTTTTTTTTTTCTTCAACAATTACCCTATGATAAAAATGACAATGCTTTGCTATCAGGTAAAATGACACGGCAGTAGAAATTAGTGCGCATATTCCCGATATGGTCCAGCCTATTCTATGGGCTTTTTATTATTAATAACCGGAATAGGAAAGGCAAACGAGAGAGTTAATTAGTAAATGTCAATGTTCTTGGGATTGTAAATTGCAATATTACCATCAAAATGTGGGCCATTATCCCAGAAAGAAGTTGGATCAGTGAGGTTGGTATTTTCTGCTGGGCAAACTGTTGACCACAATTTATTCATTGTTTTTTTGTTTGATTATGATGTGATGTTATAATTGACAATTCGCTTCCAATAAGTTTCGCTAAGCAAAATTGGAATTTAACTGACTTGTTCGTTTGTTTTTCTTTAATTATTTGTATCATTTAATTAATTTATTAAAAAAAGAAAGCATTATTTTTTTTCTTTCTTTCTTTCTTTCTTTTCTTTTAAAACTCCACTTCGAAGATATTATACCTTGAAAATTATTTAGAATTATTATACCTAAAAGTGCCAACAAATTTTACCTATTTTGTGG